AAAAAGAGTGTTCTTTCGAGGATTGGCACAACGTGTCCCCTTTTCTTTTCTTCCCCGGTATTTATTATATAAATCCGACCCTGCACAACCAGGTATAGCAGGTGTAAGTAGGGCGCAACGGTGCGACACCCATTTGAAGAAGCTTCGCACCATGTTGCGAGAACAAGTGCACGCATACACGAATGCAGTGGGGTTGCAGTCCTTTTCTCTATATGTAAATGCAGGGACAAACGAGTCGAGAGCCCTGAAAGTCTCTTTCTCTCTCTACAACTTTATCCCATCGCAGCTGAGCGAGAGGGGAGCATTGTTGGGGACAATCGACATCCCTCTGGACATCACAATTACAGAATAATATACCACGAGCAGCGATTGCAGTGCTTGGAAAGCCGCATCCGGGAATCAAGTGCGACATCATTCGAAAAATCGATCGACTAATTGAATCAAGGACCTACAAATAAATAAATATTTATGTAGATATTAATTAATGTAAATTAATTATCATATTGTAAACTAATTTTCACGAGAGTTTATAACTGCCTCTATGTGGAAATTATTTATAGCCTCGAGAAAAATTCGAATAATAAATCCTTAAATTCCTATTATTCATTTAAAAGCTATTACAAATATTGGGAATTTCAAAGAGATAATTCGAAAGCGTGAGAAACTCGCCGCAGAGTAAATAGTACACCAAAGAATTTCATTGTAAAGCGAGTTGCGAGTAAACGTTGCTCTTATCCTTCGAGTACAGTTATGAACTTTGACTGCAAGAAAACGAATAGCATCACGTAGTCGATTTAAATAAGTCTACAGAGCTTAGCGGCTTATTTATAATCAACACTATTTTATAATGATTTTTATGATATACTATAGATTATATAAATATGTGATACACTAATCCCCTGTTAATATACATCCATTATAGGTAATTAAATTGTCATTTTCAATAATTGTTAATGTAATAATTTTATATTTCTCTGATGGAATTTTTAAACTAGATTTTTACAATTATAAAAAAAAATCTGAAAAAAAAAATAATAATCTACAATATTTCTCTTCACAATTTTACTTGCCCCTCGATTGTATATCTCTTTTCTATCTTCCTAAATCAAACCTTGGACGAGTTGGCAAGAATGCCAACCAAGCCCGACATTCTTGTAATAGATATCCTGACGAGCACGCGGTTGAAATCAGCACACGTAATTAAGTAAAGAGGATAAAAGAAGAAACACAAATTAACGTAAAAAGATGTTCAAATTGTCTCGTAACCGTTACACGAATATATACGTTGTTTCTTTTCTATTCACTTGGGGGAAACGAAAGAGCGATAAAAAAAGATTTCCATTCCAAACGCTACAGCGGCTATAAAAATGTAATTACAAAAAAGAGATATGGTCTAGCGATACTTTTGTTAAATATATTCGAACTAAATTGGAAAATTACGAATAAAATAAAGTATAAATAACTCGAGGCACCCTATGTAGGTTTGCGTGATATGCGAGAAATTAGTTTGAAGAGAAAAATATATATGGTAATGGATTCGATAATACGATGGATATTAACGTGGTTCAAGGACTGATTAATTAACGAGAGGAAATGGTAGAAAGATGTGTAATACATGCCATGATTTCACAATTGACCGTGGAAGAACAGGAAAAAGGAAACCCCGGTCGGACTCTCTTTATAGTCGGGATACACGGAAACCTTTTTCTCGGTTCAAGGAACACCCCCAGTTCTCATTTCTATTCCAAACCCCGCATTACTCGAAACGCGAATAAAATAATCGCAGGTGTATAACAAGTATGAAAGTGAAAAATTGTTTCGGAAGAATCACGAAAAATTGACAGAAAATGTGCAAGCTCTGAAAAAAAATTCCGGGATAATGATAAAATTGAACAAAATGTTAGAGAGAAAGAAAGGGAGGGAAAATGAATCAGCAGGAAGCTCGAATCCCCGCGATGAACCAAAGATTAAAAGATCGTCGTCCTCGATGCGTGACGAATATTAACCCTCTACGCTGTTTATCTCTCGGTACGCCCTCCCTTCGTTCGTGACCACCATCATCATTATCATCATCGTCGTCGTCGCCACTATAATTGGCGCCGTTTCAACCCCTCGCGGGTACCGCGATAAAATCGTCACGCTACTCTTAATCACGAGAGAGAAAGAGAGAGAGAGAGATAGCCCGCAGGAAGTCGCATGTAAATTCTCATCGGAACGCACGTGGGTACGGTCGATGTGTCGACGCTTCGTTGCGTGCACGCAGTGCACTTGTCGCCCGCGTGCATCATCGCGTCATGCTCTCCCTCCGTCTAGTCGCTGCGATACTTTTCAAATCTAGTACACCTTTTGTGAAGCGCCCTAAAGTGCTCGAACGATGAAGGGATATTTCGAACCCCTTCTTTTCAATTACGAAAGTTATAACAGGGTATCCAGCAGACTCGATGAGAAAAATTCCCTGACGTTTTCAGATTTTCCAAGACCAATATAATTTGCACGATAAATCAATTAAATGTTAAATCTCGGGATTTCATAATCTTCGAGATAAAAATTTGGGACAAAAATTTAAATCAATTGTCACTATAAACTGTTGAATGAAAATATAAATTAACGAACACGCTGTAGATTTTTAACAACACAGAAAATTAGCGTGCTGAGAGTCAAGGAACAGTTTATATTTATGTAATAAAAAATTTCCAATTATTGAGACAAATGTAAAATAATGTAAAAAAAATTCAGATAAACAGTAAAATTTCCTGACTTTCCAGATTTCCTTGACCGCTAGACACCCTGATTAATAATGAAAAAGATTGAAAAATTATACAAGATATACTCGAGAGAGAAAAAGAGTGTGATAAATTAAAACTTATATTATCTTATTTCTCCACATAATCTCTCGACAGATTGATGCTTTGTATTCTATCGTAATAAGCACATGTTGCGCCAACGATAAGTGTACCTTATATTTTTGCAACTTTCCTCGTGCAAACGAACAAGTATGCGTAAAGGAAAACTTTGCGGACAAAAACTCGATCTAGTTTTTCGCAATCAAAGATTGACGAGATTATTCTTAATAAAAAGTGAACTATGTCTATGAATAAATATCGAGTGAAGACGCGTAATGCATTTCGTGTACGTATTAATCACCGTATGACGTAACAAAAGATTGAATTGTAATTTTTCCCCGACATTTCTACACGCATAATTTCGTCGAATAAAAAATTCCAGGATATACTGAAATATCCACCGCTAGAAGGAGTTAATGACGGAAGCGATATTTACGTAACTATATACGGGGTGTCACATTATCGGCACTCCTTCCATAGAAGAGAGGCGTGGCGATAGTTCCGTAACAACGCAGCGTGTAACAAACACTCGAAATTTCGTAGAAAGACCCTCGATGATGTATCGTGAGACGCGGAGCCAAGTCCAATCTATGTCTAATCTTCCCAAGAGAGATAACACGAATCCCTGGTGATAATTCTGAATAGAACCCGCGATACAAAAAAAAACCCGACATGTATTTTTATCGAACAATTTAAGAGTCAAGATCGGAGCGATTTATTAGAACGCTACCTATATTTATATGCGTCGCGCTTGAACGAAAAATCTGGTATGCGTGAAGGGGATGAAAAGAATCACGTTTTGAAAATAAGAAGAAGAGCATAGAGGTAGTCACGAAACTAAAGAACGTGATCTTCGTGTTTCTTTTACTGGGAAAAATCGCGTCGCAGTGGCGCGAAAACACACGTAGAAAATGCAAGAAAACTCACCCACACACCGGCAGCGTGACTCACGAACACGTCGCGCATCCACACATTCGCTCCAGCTCGGGGCGGCGCACAGGTTGCACAATTGTCGTTATCACCACAAAGTCGCGTCGATCGACTTAATTAGCCGACGCGACGAGGCACCAACGTACGTCCGTCCGTTCGATCGTCGTCGAGCTCCCTCTTTCGACGACAACGGGAAAATAGAAAAACTCGCGACACGTGCTCCGATATAAACCAAAGAGAACCGTCCGAAAAGTCACTTGTTCCGGCGACGAGGAACAGCCGGGGGACGGGAAAAACGCCGAGGAACGAGATGCAGGATATAACAGCGTGGCGAGGAAATGAAACGAACGGTAACGAGAGAGCGGCAGGAGCGCGCGCGCGCACGCACGCGGTTTCAATGAGCGAGCGAGACTGACTGCGAGGGGAGGATGCTCGGCGGACGGACGGACGCACGGAGAGCCGAGCGGAGCCGAGGACGGCCGAGCGCGGCCGAACGGAGCCGAGCGCGGCCGAGCTCGGCACCCCGGGGCGTATCGGCGCCTATGGGCAGCGCCGTAGTCGACGGGGCGAGAGGAGGATGACGGAAGGGTGGAGAGGCGCGGGGAGAGGAAATGGGGGGGAGGGAAGAGGGAGAGGGAATTTACGCAACCCTCACCCGAGCGAAAATTCACGTCGAGAAACACGCCGTCCGTCCGTCGATGCGCCGATAAGCCACGTAGAACCCTCGCGACGTAAGGAAGCGGAGGAGGGTGGGGGAAGGAGGAGGAGAGAGAGTTCTTTCTGTATCGCAGTTTTGCTTCGTGGAAAAGAAACTACCACGAAACTAACCTCTTCCGTTCTGCCCCGCCGCTAACCCTTCCGACGCAGCCACGTAGGAGCACTCTCTCTCTCTCTCTTTCGCACACGCATACGTAAACACAGACACACACTCGAGCCGCGCACAAACGTGCGGACGATGAGGTGGAAGAAAAGCAGGAACCGAGACGGGGGAAAAGGGGATGGAAGAAGAGAAAGAGGCGTAGACGAGGGAGGAAACGAGAAAAAGATCGTCTGGTCGATTATCGATTCGCGAGGGTGGCTCGAGATGGCAACGACCCGACGTCCCGTTTCGACGTCGTGTTTATTTCGCTTTACGACGCTGCTGCCGTCGATTCGCGTCGCGAGGAAGGAGAGAACGAAACCTCAACCGCCTGGTTAGCGAAACACAACGATATCACTCGCACTTACCTTGACATCCTCGGAACTCGACGGCGACGACGACGACACGAGGCGAGGCACAAAATCTAGGGGTAGAGATCGGATGTTTCCAAGGAGTGGCGCGCCAAAGGACGTGCAAGTTGGTCCGTGCGCAGCACTAGGACGCCATGTCAGCAAGTCGAGGCGCGGACGGACTCTCGGGGCAGATACGTGCGCGCGGACGACCACGTATACACGTACACACACATGCGCGCGCGCGAGCGAGACAGAAGACGCACGCACACCACCGCGTCACTCGTTCGTCGTCCAACCCGCGCCGGGGAATTTCTGCCGCGCCACCGAACGGCCGTCACGGAACCTCGCCTACGCCCGCCTAGCCACGGCCGTGTCTTCCACTCGTAGTACCCTTCACCGTCGTCGCAACGCGAGCGACGCAACAGAAGAGAAGAGAGCACTCGCTCGCGCCCTCGTTCAAGCGAACGAACACCACCGAACCGACGACGGCCGAGCCGAACCGATCCGAAGTCGAGCGCGCAAACTTCTACCACCACCGCCACCTAGAAACGCGACGCACCGTGGCTCTCTCCCCCACTATACCCTCTCGCGTTCTCTACCCCCGCACCCTCTCACTTGTATCTCTCTTTCTTTCCGCAGCGAGCGCGCGCGCGCGCGCGCGATGACGCGTGTCTCTCCGTCGAGAGTTCCGTGTGTGGAAATTTCCCCGCGTCCCTCGGACTTTATCTACCCTTCCATATGTTGCGTCTTCTTAGAGTTAGGAACCCTCGGGAAGGAACAAACTCTCTGGAATCGTCGTTTTGCGTTTCGCCCACCCTCGGCTTGGTCACTCGCAAAAAAAAAAAAAAAAAGGGCACTTACTTTCGTCCCTTTGTTCTCACGCACTCTCAGAGTCGAGGAGTGCTCTTCGCCTGCCCTGTACGACTTTGTTCCCAAACGCACCCTCGCATTCTCCGTCGTTCGTCGGGTCTTGTTTCAACGACGTTGGGCACCGCACGAAGGGAAGAAAAATCACGCGCGAATATGTTGAGGTTTTAGCAGGGCGTTCCGAAATTTACCCAACGTCACCCTTCGCGACCTTGAAATCGACTCCCGGCTCAAACTCGGACGGACTTGGAGAAACTTTGTCTCGCTCGACGCAAAAGTGTTGACCATTTCGGAGGGGTATGGGGCGAGGGTCAAGGCGGAGGATGAGAGAAGCACGGACCAAAGTCCTTTCTCGAGAGAGACAGAGGGGTGGGGATGGATCGACCTCGAACATCGCAGGGATGCACGTGGAGAGGGATGCGACGAGGTGATTCCCCCGCCACCTCTGTTCCCCGCGGGACAGGAAATTCGCAAGCGTGGACGGACGAGGGAGAAGAGAGAGAGAGAGAGAGAGAAAAGGTGGTGGTGTCGTGTCGCGGGCTAGGAAGCGAGAGCGCAATTCGCGCGCCTGCGCACTTTTTTTCCGTCAGGCGATTCGCGTCTCTCTCTCTCTTTCTCTCTCTCTGCCGCCACTTACAAAGTAGCTTCATAACTTCGAACTTGAAGTTGTTCGCCAACCTACCCGACCACTGTTGCGTGCCCGATAATCTCTGCCTAGGTGAAATTGGTAGCCTCTCTCTCTCGAGTCCCACGTTGGCGAGGAAAGCAGCGCTCCGTCGAAAACACACCCGGATGATAGTGGTGCGTCCCACCAGGCAAACTGCTACGCTGGCAACGTTCACCCCGACACGCGTGCCTCGCGTCGCAAACGCACTGCCGTCGTCGCAACTTGGTGTCGCGCGCCTTCCCTTTCCTCCTTCCTCCGCCTTCTGCCCCTCTCACCCTCTTCGGTGAGCGCGTTTAACAGGACGGTCACGCCGCGTTTCGCGCGGTTCTCGCTATACGAACAAAAACAAGGGCGGCTGTTAAAAGAAACCAATCTCTAAACCCGACCATGTGTACATTTATAGGGCCATATATACATGTCCTTTTTGGAGCATCTGTGCAAGGGTTGTTCATACATAAGAGCTGACCGATACAAATGTGCGACAGAATCTCTCCACGGGGCTTTTTCGGTCAACTGATAAAAAGGCACCGTCGCGATGAACGAGAGAGACGTATAGTCGGACAAAAAAGTGCCTGGAAGGAGAAGCTGCGGAGAGAGACTCTCGGGACACGGAGGCAACGGCGACGAACGGGAGCGTCGTTGGAGCCTCGTGGAGGGGACGAGGACGACGATGGTAGTATCGGGGGTAAAGGGGTAAAGGGGTAGACGGACGTGTAGACGATGTGGGTCGGGGTGAAGGGCGTCACCGCTGTCGCCGTCGTCATCGTCGTTTGACTCCTCCGACTGTTGTTGCCGATTGTCTAGTGTCCTTGGCTCCGCTCTAGCAAAACTCTAGCTAGTTCTAGCTCAGAGCGTGCGCGCTCGTCCCCAGTCTCTTTCTCTCTCCTTGGCTTGTTCTCCTACTCTCCATTGCGCCTACGGCCAGGGCTGTATCGCTCGGGGCTGCTGCTTTGCCCCTTCCTGTCGTCTTATTCCTGCTCGGTATTCAGCCTTCTCTGTGTTGCAATCAGGACTTGCTTCATATATCAGCCGTGAGAATAACTAAGGGTTAATCAAGATTAACGTTAGCGATATACACTTTCCTTCTTTTCCTAATTTTCGCAACATTATTCTTTTTGTATCAAGCATCTTATATAGGAATTGTGTATAAAACCATTAATGACCAAAGTATGGATACGTATTGTAACGAGATGTTCGCTTAGTTTTCCACATCTTTGTATCGGCAATGTCCAGCACTACGAGTGCTCGTCTAGAATCGCGAGTCCTGGCCGTGATGCGTCCAGAGAGCTTAGAAACTTGGACGAGAGAAGGGATACTTAGATTAGGCACGAAGGGAGGAGAGAAGTGGTAGCAATGGCGTCACCGCTTGCGCGCGCGAAGGAGTTGGAGGAGAAGGGAGAGGGCTGTCTTCGCGGGTTAACCGCGGGGTGGAGGACCGCGGCGGGAGGACGGAGGGACCAAGAAGTACTACACGTGTCGCTGTAGCGCGGGGTGTTGACCCCAAATAGCTTTTTTAACGTGACGTAACCGCGAAAGGGTTGAGAAACAGCCGACACGAGTTCGCCTCGAACTCGGAAGAAAGAGGGAGAGAGCCAAGCCCTCTCTCGCGTCTTACCAGACCTTACCTTATGCCTTGACTTGACTCGACTTGACTTGACTTGCCTTGCCTTGCCTTGCCTTGCCTTGCCTCGGCTCCTTGCCTTCCAGCGCGGCTGTCCGTTATATATGCGCGCCATAACGATCCTTTCGTACTTCGAAACGTGTCTTCGCGATGACTGGCGTTGGAAAAATACACGGCCGATTCACTCTGAAAGAGAATTTATTCTAAATTAGTCATTTTTTATGGCACGCATAATAGATGTGCGAAATATGTACATTGTATTATCTGTGTTTCCTCCTTCTCGCTTTCAATTTTCTTCATGTTACGAGTTCTCGATTTCATAATTTCGTCCAAACTATCGGGATTTTTATCTCGAGATCATTGACCGGCTCTTAAAGATATATCGAAATATCTTTTATTGAAAGAAATAGTATTGACTATAGATTGCGATAACGTCTACAAAACCTAATATATCTTTCTCGTATAATGTACACATGTAAAAATATACAGATATAAATAGAAGTCTTTTTAAGGAACGCAAAATAAATTACGGACTTGTATTGTCAGCGCGGTATGCGGAAAAGAAAACGCGAAACAGTTTTATTTCTACAAAATCAAATGCGTATAAAAATCAGATAGCGGGTACGAAAATGATCGAGTCGCGCTTTCACGAATTATTTATTAGCTTTTAATATTTCCGGAATCGAGCTGCGCATCCAAGACTCGATGACGGCGCGGCCACGTGCGAATTTGCATTTACAATTCGTGCAAATCGAGATTAGATTCTCGAGTAGAGGTTGGACCTCTTGGGGTCACCGAGGGTGGCGCATCTCACCATGCATGATTGCAACAAAGTGCTCGGATTCATTTCCGGAATATTAATGAGCCGTGACGAAACGTCAAACAGCGTGAACGAACGCAAAATAGAAAGGAGGAAAAGAAAGACAGAGAAATACAAATACACTTAAAAATATATAAATTAATACATGTATATAGCCTTTGTAGACAATAGAAAAACTATATTATATAAAAGATTAAAATAAAATGTATGTTTCAAACTATAATTGTAAGATAGAGATCTTATGATTCGGAGAAAGAACTTGATTAATATTGGAAATGATATGTCGCAAACAATTATACCGAAGGAGAGAAGAGAAAGAAGTAATAGAGAGAAACGCGTGGCCCTAAAAAGACCCGAGGGAGAAACTTGATGTTAATATTAAATGTTAACGCTATTGCGTAACCGCGCTCACAATCAGTTAACAACGAGCTAACGGGTGGCAGCGTCCTATATATCGAAACGTCTTCTCTCTATCTCTTTCTCAATGATCCTAATTAGTGTACGCATAAGCTTCGTGTTACGACACGCCGCGCCAGTACCGTTCCAACTGCGAACCATATGCGACCGGGGGGTTAAGTATCGTCTTTACACTGTTTGAATTCTCCTCGAATCGACGTGATCCAATAGCGATCGATCTCAATGACACTAATCGTGGTAATTAAACACGAGGGATCTGCATATCAAAGTCTTTATACAGTTCCCTAAATAATCAATCCGATGAATTCCAGAAGACATCTAATCACTCAATTTTTTGTCGCGCGCTTATTAAATTACTATCTACATCTATGATTAAACAAAATTATAATTTCTTTTAATTCTCGCTCTAAGCAGAAATTCCATCGTTGTAAAATATATTCGACTCGAATGAATCATCTAGAACGGACCGTGTAAATTTGCCCTAATACGTGTGTATGCGCGTGTATATCTATACACACACAGCTATCTTATCAGACCTAGCTACACCCCGAAAAGGCGTGAACGATACATTTTTTTTTCTCGGCTGGTTGGCAACTCGATAATTCCAGCGCCACTCGGCCCTTGTAAGGTCAACGTAAGGTTTTGAGGTCGAGGCAAATAGAGAGGATGAGATAGATACCAGTCCCTCGTTTCTGGCAATTTGAAATGCTACGCGTCGCTTCGTACCCAGATATCCGTATCCCGTCGACCGCAAAGGATATTCCGAGAAACCGCGACGGAAACGACACGCCGGTTCTTTTCTCATTCGTTTCGCGAGAAAATTCGAATTAATCGTTATCCGATATGATCGTCAACGCGAATGACTCATTCCGCATGAAAAAGTCTATCCCAGTAAAACACAAAGAATTATAATTAAATTTTTGTCTTACAATTCGTTATAATACAATGATAGACTATCGCGAAACTTTCCCGCGTCCTTATAATACAACTCGACGAAAATCCCGCTGTATACTCGATACACGTGCGCGCCAAGTACAGGGTGGAAAGTTGAATCGAAGCGGTGGGAAACTGTCTCGGGAAAGCGATTCGTGAAAGAGATTCCCGCCTTACGACTCTTCCATAAAAAGCGAACGAGCGCGGTGTGGCGAGAAAGAGAGAGAGAGGAAGATCGCGTGGAGGCGAGTAACGGCGTGCATACCTTGCGTCGCGAGTAAGCGCGATAGCGAGGTAGGGGATGACTCTTCGAAGGGACATTGCTCCCTGGCCTGGCTTGCCCTGCTCTGCTCTGCGCTTCGCGTTCCGTGTCCAGCCAAGGATCCACGCCCGTCCTTCTCTCTCGCGTCGTCCTGCGCGCTCTCACGCGCCTTCATCGAACGTAACACCGGCAGGTCCTTCCGGTGGAGAACGCGAAAAGAACGCCTGGCGAACCGCCCCGCA